CTGGAGGGCCAGGAGACTGTGTTCGTCAGACCTCTAACCATTGACCAACCTGGTATGAGAGACTCTGTGAGTGTCGCGGGACACTCTCCAGTATAGTTCAGTGGATCGCTGAGGCGCGCAAGCCGTCACACCACGGTAAGGTCCAGTCTCTTCGTGACGGAAATGAAACACGGTGTAGTTCAGACCAACTATATCATGCTACCAACACGCACATGCGTGGCTAACAAGATGGGATGTGATTCCATAAAGAAATTTACAATAAAATTGATAACACTTTGTATTTTGGATACAATGCTTCATATTCAGGCTGACTAGAGCAGGAGAAGGTCTCACCTGCCCCAGCTCTATGCTGTTAGTTTGCTGTACTGAGTTTATAGTTCGAGGTAACAGTTACGGAATTCAATAATTCCCCTTCCCAGGTGTTGGCCTAAATCCTCGTGTGTTTGAGTAGTAAAAATGCTCGTTAATTGCCTCTCGATTGTGAGGCCAACCAAAGGCAACCACGTCTACTTCTCTAATGCTCCTACACGGGTTCACGGATGACGTATGTGTTTTTAGCCTGAAACGATGCCCTTCTGTGTTTTTTGCCCTACGTGAGACATAAGAATATATGCTTCTGGAATAAGCTTGATTCATGAAGCCTTGAAGGTAAAAATTGTGTTCACATGCCTATTCAGTGTTTGGAAGACTACTCCATTTGCGCAGTTCTGGTATGATTTTGGTTGCTAGTCTCTGAATAAACTCCGGTAGAACTTTGATCAAAGAAAATAAATTTGTCCACTGAACAGGCAAAACAGAGCACTGTGCCATACCGGTAGCCCAGAGGATGAAGCTTATCACCCGCATTCATAACATACCCTATCCTTCTTTGGCAAAATAAGTGGCATAATCAATAGATTTTTGGTCAGTAAGTGTTCACCATTTACGTTCACAAAAATCGGCTTCCCAGAAAACCTGAATCTTCTCGATAATGTAAGTACACTGGCTCTGGAATGCAGATGGTCGGTTGTGCAGTGCAGTTGGTCACTTTCTTGCCGTAATATTTTATATTTGCTTGAAGGTGAACGGTGTATCCATAGCTCGCTATGTTTCCAAATTATCAGAGACCAGAGAACATGACCACTTAGATGTGTGAGGTATTCTGTTAATATACACACTGTACATTGCTGGACTGTCTGTTAGGACCGATGGGGCAAAGCTTATTACCAAAAAGAGTAATACTCTGCCAATTTCAATCTTGGTGGAAACATCGGTTCTTTAAGAACCCTCTTAGCACGCTAATAAGGCTACTAAAAATTGTCTTTAAATTCTCAGTGTATATGTTAGTTTAAGTCGTCGCAGTCTCCATGGGAGAATCCGTAAGGGAGTGTCATCCACGGTCCCTTAAAATACTAGCACATAAAGGAATTACGTTGTTTTTCTCATCTCAACAGTACCGATCTCCAGAAAATTACATTCATATGCAATCACATTTATGGTTTGTGAGCCGTATGTTCAGGTGCATCCAGCTTCATTTATTTGAGGAAAATCCGAAAGGTCTATATTGGTTACACTATCTGAAGCGGCTATGCTTAAGCTGTTCGTAGGGGCAACCACTTTGATTAACTTCTCCATGATTACTGGCATTGGTTTAGTTAATCCACGTTTCAGTGCGGCAGCGAAGTATCGTTGTTGAACACTGATGTTATGCTGTCAATGGTGATGATGATGATCCATGTTTTATAACGCCTAGCTTGCTTTGGCGAGCTCTAGTCCCTGCACTACAGAATGAAAGCTCTGGATGAAATCTGAGAGATGAAGAAAATAAACAAGCAGTGGAGAATTTCAGTCTTCTTAAAACTGTCGCTTTAGAAGGATACGGTAAAGGCACAGTCTGCTCCGCTTTATCAAAAGAAAACTAAACTGTAACTCGAAGCCTAAATTGAGTTCCCTCACGCATGAATAGTTAACCCACTAAGTAAACTTATACAGCAGAACTCGCTCTGTTTATATGCTGTCGAAAAATTCCAAACAAAATTTTGTTACGCGTTAACGCGTACAAATTTTCGTCGAACAATCTTGTAAAAGGATATCGATTTGAACGTACGCAATGCATATTCAACCACAAGAAGATTCACTTCTAGTCTTACACCCTCTGTGATTGCTGGATACACCACACTTTGATTTAAAATATCTCATTGTAGGTGGTTTTAGTGATTGATTGATTCACCTGCACCCGGGTGCAGAAGTGCAAGGAACTTCTGCATTCGGATGCAGTTCTCCTGCGGAAATTTCTGCAATTTTGCTGACTACAATTATTACTCATTTATGAATACCATTTGATACTTGTAATAACTTGAAGAGTCGCGATAGACCATTTTTCGTTCGTACATCTGAGACGAACCAAATTCACAACTCGAGCGAAATTTAAAGGAGCCACTTCGACAGACGCCTGCATTCTGCATATGAATGCATATTAATACACATATCTATGAACACTCCCGTTAATTTCTGGTTCATATCAATTAAATTAACAGTATCCTACAGAAATCTTACCGAAATAGTACTGTCATACCGAATAACTTCATGTACTCACCAGCATATTAAATGATTGAATCGAGGGCTTGAACGGGAAGTCGTTGGACTAAATTCGTAATCTGTATGACCTTGGTGGTCATGGTAGCACGGGTTCGTGGATTGACATAGAGGATCGACGCTTTCGCCCAATATTCCCGGGTCGATGTTCTGCTTGTGGTTCAAAGGCTTCTGTTCACTTGTAAGACATAAACGAAAAAATGATGTAGCCATGATCTTTAAGTTCTCACTGTGGGGCAGTAATTTTCCCAAAGTGGGGACTCAACTTAAGGGGCGTTCAAAAGTTATTTGAACTGGGTACTAAATGAAGCGTGAACAAGGTCGGATGGTGGTTACTCCACACACAGATTACCCGTAATGATAAAACTGCCGCCTAACAAAGGCCTGCGCTCTGAGCTTGAAAATCTTTTCACCATGTCCTCACCGCATTTTAGTTGTGTCAACGGCGACAAACCCGTTGACCAAGCTTGTTCAAACAGATCGTAAACAAGTATTTGGCCTCTTCGGAGGTGACGACACCTTAGGGAAAATAGACCAAGCACCGCGAAACTCCTTTCGTGGCCAATGGTTTACCGTCGACAATCCTTTTCTCAGCAGTTCACCGGACACACTCAGTCAGGGCTACGTCTTCCATTGAAAGTTTTTACGTCATTTGGGTACATGAGTATGTTGGTAATGGATGATGTTGCCGAACTGTGCTCACTCTCATTTTTAGAACATTAAGCCAAGCAGTTTGGGTAACCTGTTCAAACGGTTCATTATGACAGCAGCGATCATATTAGAAATGGCATTTTACATTTATGGAATAAGCGGCGGCCCACAAACACGGAGGATAATTTTATCAGGAGGGATGAAGCATCTAGCAGGCGTGAGCAGTCTTGGGAATGACAGGTTCACTTTTTTCATGAAAGCCCTAGGCATGTACCTGGTCTACTAGGGTGGTGGTTGGATGATTAATGATGGTCTCCTTATGATGATTTGGTTGGACGTTGACTGCTTTCCATATCACTGGAAGAACTGTGGCTACAAACGATGGGGAAATACCATGGGGCACCATGTATAAAGTCCATTGTCTGGAGGCATTGAGACCATCGTCAACTGGGATCACAAAGCACTTTTGACAAGATATGGTCCATTCCACACCATCTATGATCGTGAGTGTAAGCGAGTTCAGTCCAAAATATTATTTGGCAGCCGAATTTCTCGGTCAGTTAACTTTAGTCCCGTTTAGACAAGGTGACGTGTTCATCGACCATTGTCCGGGTTGTATCTAGGCGCGCGCGACCGAAGACACGTAGGTTTCGTCAGGCCATGGTAGGTGGTTTCATTCTTTGTTCGAGCGTTATATTTCTGTGTAGGAGTCTGTGATAGGATGGCCACGAGTACGCCTTTACACCTGGTTAAACTGTGTTGGGATACTTTGCCGTAAATGGTCGCCGGATGTGATTCTAGCTGTGAACACCAAGTCACAGCAACTCTCGGTTGGATGACAAGTTCCATCCGTTTTTGGTTTGGTACCTACAAAGACGGTGTGAGAGCCCTTTTGTTCACTTGGAAGGAAGTTGAATAGGCTCTAAGCCGGGTACTCTTCGGTGAGCCGGAGCCATGACTGGTGCCAGAGTTTTCAAGATTGATGTGGTTGAAGGCGTCTCAACCTATTCGCCTTCTCATGCCGACATATTTTCTCAGGTGAGTGAAAAGGCGCAACTGTCTGACGTAGAGAACATTACCGCCAACAGAAAAGATCCCGACTGGGAACTGCGTGATTCATTTTGCCCAGAAGGAATTCGCATCTTCATCGATCATCAGGATAAGTTGTCTTCTGTTCCCTGTTGCTTGCACGGACCACTTGAGACGTGGAAACGGGTGAAATTTTGCGACGGACGTGGCAAACCAGTTTATTGATTGAAACTAATAATTATGTGACTTCGTTTCCACGACTGTGGAGAACATATCAGTTGGGTCAAGTTGTAACGTCTATAAAATATCGGACAACAAAATAAAGTACAGAGGAAAATACCTAAGAACCGGGTCTATTTTTGTTGTTGTAAATTCTGGATAAACAGGAAAACTGAGGCCGGATAGGCACGAGCGCCTTGTTAATTAGGTCAACCGATTTTGATGGTAACTTAAAGCGCAACTGAACACTGAGGGGTAAATCCCGGAAAAGGATTCCACAGATGAGAATAAAAGGAGGCGCTTCAACGGAGATCGGGTCCAGTAACCTGCTTATTCACACTGGCGAAGATTTGGGAGGTTGGGCAAAATCAAGCGTCGATAGTGAAAGGTTTTGATAAGGATGCTCATGCCTCATTTATCAAGGCTGAAGAGCAGATGATTGGGTCAGGTAAAGGACTGTCCTCTTCCAGAAAGCGTACGTTTGGTCAGACGGAATCGGAAATTTTTGGCATGCGTACAAATATGAATGGTTCACTGAAAAGAATGTAGCAGTCCGCGAGGAATGTGGCGCCGCACATGCGGCGGCTAAGGGCAGTGTCGTCCTGGGAAATGTTCCTGACCGTCGTCAACTTCGGCCGCATGCGAGGCTTCTGTAATTGATAAAAGAATTATGTATATCCGCGACGTTCCGTTTGCCATTTTTGCAGAAATTATCATACACAACCGCGCAGGCTGTATAGACGCAATCCAGGAATTAAGGTGATTAAGGGAGCTGTGTGCTGCACCTAAACGAGAGTAACATGCGCAAGACGTTACGTGTCCCGTGAACATCAGCGATTCAGAGGTCGATACGTGGAAGAATGTAGTGGAAACGTAGGCAGACCTGGAAACCTGGCCTTAGTTATTCATTAATTGGTGATCCCGCGTTGTCTGAGTAGTATGATTCTAGTGGCAACAATCTGGCAACTCACTTCATCAGATGAAAGTTGCTCTACTCGAAAATGTGGAGCAGATTGATTAAAAATCTTTTGGGGAGTTTGTTCAATGAGTCTGAAAACGTGTGTGTGTGAGTGGAGACCCTTGAAGAATGTTGTTTCTTGCCAGAGAAAGCACAGTGTCGAATTCCGATGGCAAGCTTATTACACGATTCTTTATGCTTGTTGAATGTTGAAGCAGAAATCATGCAAGTTATGGTCAACAGACGCGCTACTGTTACAAACTGGTTTAGGGTCCCGAAAGATGCCTGTCTTGGTACCAATATAAGGAATTCGCATCTTCATCGATCATCAGGATAAGTTGTCTTCTGTTCCCTGTTGCTTGCACGGACCACTTGAGACGTGGAAACGGGTGAAATTTTGCGACGGACGTGGCAAACCAGTTTATTGATTGAAACTAATAATTATGTGACTTCGTTTCCACGACTGTGGAGAACATATCAGTTGGGTCAAGTTGTAACGTCTATAAAATATCGGACAACAAAATAAAGTACAGAGGAAAATACCTAAGAACCGGGTCTATTTTTGTTGTTGTAAATTCTGGATAAACAGGAAAACTGAGGCCGGATAGGCACGAGCGCCTTGTTAATTAGGTCAACCGATTTTGATGGTAACTTAAAGCGCAACTGAACACTGAGGGGTAAATCCCGGAAAAGGATTCCACAGATGAGAATAAAAGGAGGCGCTTCAACGGAGATCGGGTCCAGTAACCTGCTTATTCACACTGGCGAAGATTTGGGAGGTTGGGCAAAATCAAGCGTCGATAGTGAAAGGTTTTGGTAAGGATGCTCATGCCTCATTTATCAAGGCTGAAGAGCAGATGATTGGGTCAGGTAAAGGACTGTCCTCTTCCAGAAAGCGTACGTTTGGTCAGACGGAATCGGAAATTTTTGGCATGCGTACAAATATGAATGGTTCACTGAAAAGAATGTAGCAGTCCGCGAGGAATGTGGCGCCGCACATGCGGCGGCTAAGGGCAGTGTCGTCCTGGGAAATGTTCCTGACCGTCGTCAACTTCGGCCGCATGCGAGGCTTCTGTAATTGATAAAAGAATTATGTATATCCGCGACGTTCCGTTTGCCATTTTTGCAGAAATTATCATACACAACCGCGCAGGCTGTATAGACGCAATCCAGGAATTAAGGTGATTAAGGGAGCTGTGTGCTGCACCTAAACGAGAGTAACATGCGCAAGACGTTACGTGTCCCGTGAACATCAGCGATTCAGAGGTCGATACGTGGAAGAATGTAGTGGAAACGTAGGCAGACCTGGAAACCTGGCCTTAGTTATTCATTAATTGGTGATCCCGCGTTGTCTGAGTAGTACGATTCTAGTGGCAACAATCTGGCAACTCACTTCATCAGATGAAAGTTGCTCTACTCGAAAATGTGGAGCAGATTGATTAAAAATCTTTTGGGGAGTTTGTTCAATGAGTCTGAAAACGTGTGTGTGTGAGTGGAGACCCTTGAAGAATGTTGTTTCTTGCCAGAGAAAGCACAGTGTCGAATTCCGATGGCAAGCTTATTACACGATTCTTTATGCTTGTTGAATGTTGAAGCAGAAATCATGCAAGTTATGGTCAACAGACGCGCTACTGTTACAAACTGGTTTAGGGTCCCGAAAGATGCCTGTCTTGGTACCAATATGCGCCCCGTGTATGGTTAGGAAATCCATGTCCACAGTTACATCCCAGTTGATTTTCATAAAGACGAAAGTAAACTCATTCACCAAATCCGATAAAACAAGTGCTGTAATATTCATGCCCAGTGACGAAATGATGCGCGCATCTGCTGTGAAAGATCCCTGGCAGTCGTCGTGGCTGTTATCTTTCAGTCGCGATAAATCAAAAGAAACAGTGGAACGAGAAGTTCCGGCAGCAACTAAGATGATCACAGGCTCCGCATTCACTTGCTCTGTTTTCAGTAAATGGAATCACCGGCTAACTACTGCAGTAGATGTAGTGGCAGACAACAGGTGTTTACATATATGAAGGTTGTGGACACAACAATGAGAATTCTTTCAGGTGCGCGCGCAGTAAAAACGACTTAAGGAGATTGGCTTGTATTCAGCAAGGGTCCGTATGACCCGAAATTGACCTTATGCTGTCGGCGATGGTGGCACAGTACTCGGGCCGGGGTTTTGTTATGATTCAGATGCAAAGTTTTTGTCAAAAACAACGGTTTTCAGGAGTACTACTTCGTTGAAAGCATGTAATTCTGGTGGGTTGGCCTACAAATTAGCACTGTGATTTGTTTGGGTGAGCGAATATCCAAGGTCATCCGTTACATTAAATTGAAAACAGGGCGTATAACTGTGATGGGGTATCCGAGATTGAAGTAAAAACGTGATTCCCTTACAATCGGAGAGATTGGCAGGTATTTCTGTGGCTGCAGTGCTTCATGAAACTTGCCAGAGCCGAATGTAACTGTGAACACAAAATATGATGGATTTCCAGTCCTGTAACTAAATTCGGTTTTGTATTTTGCGGTCGACAAGACCATGTGTTTTCGGGCCGCGTGAATATCTGTTCCGAATAATCACCGCCGCGGAAACAATAATTACATTCTGGAACTCGCATTAGAAATCGTGAACGTGAGGCTCCTGATGATAGTGAACTGTCGAGTTTTCTGGTGAAATACCTGATGTCAACGAGTAAGCGATAACCTCCACGATGCCGAATAAACTAGCCACGTAAAACCTACATCGATCATAGCGGACAGCTGAGGGTACCTTTCTGGTGCACCCGACCAACATACGACCAGCGGTCCAAGATGTCTAACCAACTGGCCCGCACCTGCCCACCAATCTCAGCTGAGATACCTTGAAGGTTCATTTCATATGGAATGAAAATTTGAATTTCGTCGGTCGTTTCGAATAATATGTGCGTACATCCCGGAGGCGTATGGTCTTTTAGGTACAAAACGCTCACTGAGCCTTTTGCATCTCAAAATTAGCGAAAAATATAAGTAAGGTTTCCGAAATACCATTGAGGCAGGCGGTGACAAACTGGGAATGGTGCATACTCTACAGAAGGAATACTTCGGCGGCGACATGCCCGTAAAAGCTTGCTTATACAACGCCACTCTTAATTTTAATTGGAGTTACGTTATTTCTTGTAGCCTGGTGCCTACTGGATATTGGGCTTTTGGGGCTATTGCGTTGATTCACGGGCTGAATGCGCGGTACTTTCGAAATCGGTTTCGTTTTTCCATTGTGCAAAGTTGCAAAAGCTTTTTTTGTTTTTCAATCTATTCACAGAGTACACGCAAGTAATTGTTGAATTTTATTACTCCAACAAAACATTTGAGAGATAGCCCATGAAATTTTGCGCGCACTTTTTATTTTACTTCTAGTCCGAAACATGACATCGATTTATACCGATTGCCCTCTGCAGCCATCGATAGACCACAAAAGAGCGAAATGGCTGACCGTTGAACGTTAAACGCGGTATGCAATGCCGCACCTGCAAGGCCTGGTGGCATTTCAAATGCACGGGTTTATAGGACGACCAGATAAGCCGACCAGCTAACTCTCCTGACCCGTTTGTCTGCGCCAGCTGCCTCTAAGTTAAGGGTGCAAGGCATATCGCAGCCAGGAGGAGAGCCCCCCAAAACGGTACCCAATTCCCAGTGCAGATTCAGAAAGACCACTGTCAGTGTTCCGCTTTAATCGACATACTCGACGCGAAATTAGAGCGTCTTTTGTAGGCACCGGAGGACTCAGGCTCTTAGAATGCAGCGACCTGGACGAAATTTGACAGGGAGCTTTCTTCGCTGAACCAATACCTCGCAGTATCCATACCGAGTCCTATGGCCGCGGAGAAAGTAGGACAACTCTCTGACCCGGCTATTAAGACCGCGACAGCGTCTCTAGTGGACAGGCACTCAGGGTAAAACAGCTTGATAATCTGGGGAGCAATCACGCTAGTGAAGCTGGCACAATCAATCCTTAGCGATGTCCTCACCAAGCTTGATCAATCGCTCCACGCATAATGGTCCGCCAGAAGGGAAGCAAACGAACAATTGGACTTCTATTCACTAATCCCCATCTGACGCACAAAAGATCCTGGCAGCATTCAGAAGGCCAACCCAATGATCAGGCGTCTATCTGAGGATCGCCCTCTAGACGCGCGAAAGCTTGGTCACAGCAGGTCGGGGGTGGAGACACGAAACAGGCTTACACCGGGCACTAATTCAGCCGACCCCAAACTCATATCCTCATTTGCTTCCGAAAGCAGGCCGACGAAACCAGCTGCATTTCCGGACAGCAGTTTGTATTCGACTACCACAGGCCTCTCGCCCAACAAAGGCAGTGGTGTCCTGGAGTAGGCAAACCTCACATGCAAGCAGCACCCAAAGTACTTGGAGCTATCAATGCTTATCTCCCTAACAGACGACAACGCTGCAGCCATGCACTCCTTAACAAAGCCACAGTCTCTGAACTTTACTGAGTCGATGGGCGACGACAAGCAGCTAAGCAAATCTCCAGCTCCACACCGTCAAAGCGGCCTCTCTGCTTGTGGACACAACCGTCGACCAGGACCCCGACAACCTAAGGCATAAACATGACTACAGCCATCCGGGACATCCCTCGTACATCCAGTCGGGACGCTGATCGCTGGCGGATCGGATGTCCACACAAACACGAAAGAAGAGAGACTGCAGCCAAACGAGCCACATAAAATCGCCAGATTAGAAAACTACTAGCTGGCTCCAAGATGAAGTCTTCCGCGAAAACGAGCCTCTTGGGAGCGCCACCAAAGTCATTAATTCTTAGTGCCGCCACCCAGCGTCCAGGGCCACACACAGACACCTTCCCGACCAAACCTCGCCAAAACACCCAAGAATTCAGGATGGTGAAAGCTTGCCGCAACCGTTCGATCAACAGCAAATCTGGTCGCCACAATGGGGGTGCTGAAAGAGCTACAAACAGCAACGGCCGAAATTCTCGCCCATGGTGAAAAAGACTTCGTCCCCAAAAGCCAAAATTTTCGCGCGAAACGGGCTCTCACGGGGCGGTAAAACCGCGCAAGCGAAAAGCACCCTCAAAAACCACGAAGACAGGAAGCAGACGACATCGCCCCAGAGGCCCCTCCGGAGCCTTGGACTCAAACCTGCGCAAAACTATTAAGTCTGCTGACCACCCTGCTCACTAAACTTTCGGCTCCTCAACCTCGGATGCAGTGGAGACGGTGTTCAAATGCTTGTCCACAAACTTCCTCAGCCTTTTCAACAAACTCGGCGATGTTAAACAGTCAGGTTGTCTTGAACAACCGTCCATAATCGCACTCACGGAGACTTGGCTCACACCAGATGTCCCTGACGCGGAGATCTCGGTGGATGTTCACTGTGGTTTTCGAGCCGCCTCAAAACGAGGGCGGGCAGGTGGGGTTGCTCTGTACTTACATGCGGCCCTACAAATCCCGATTGTCCTCTCTGACTCCACCCCTGCACCATTTTGCGATGCGCTGTGGGTCCGAATCCCGCTGCGCGGGATTCCCTCCTCGGAGCGATCTACCGTAGCCCCTCTAGTCCTCCTGAAGATGACCGATTCCTCATACAAAGCCTTGAGCAACTCTCCTCCAACAACCATTTCACTCATCTCCTGCTGGTAGGTGACTTCAACGGCCCAAAGGCCTCCTGGATTGAGCTCCAGGGCGTCTAATCAGGTAGACTTTTTGCAGTGGCGCTGTCTGAAGTCGTCCAACAGAGCGCTTGGACTCAACATGTGGTTGCACCTACCGGATACCACGCAGGCCAACTACCATCCCTCCTGGACTTGGTCCTCACCAACGAAAGGCACTTCGTTGATCAGGTAACAATTGACGCTCCAATGGGACATAGCGACCAGTGTGTGTTGACCTTTGATTTCATGTGTTATTGGGCCAGAAAGCCCGAACCCCAAACATGGTTTTGAGACCTCTGTCGTGCAGACTTCTCAGGGATGCGCATCATTCTTGAACAAGCCCCACTGGGGTCAGCTCCTGTGGAAGAACTACATATGACCATTGTCCAGAGTTCACGAGGCTGATGCGGTGTTCGTCATAAAAAAACCAGCACGCACTCGAATGAGCCGCAGGCTGCCAAAAAGTATTTGGCGACTTCCGGAAAAAAGGTCAACATTTTCCAAATAGTTGACTACAAGTGATACGGAAGATGAGCTGGCATATCGTGAAATGCGGGTCCGCTGTAAATCGGAAATCCGCCAATAGAACATACGAAAACAAGTCACCACCCTGGAAGTCGCTCAAAAAAACAAGTGTATTGTTCATATACATGAGCTATCGCCGCAGAAACAAGCCATCCGCGTTCTCCTTGAGGGACAGAAACAGAGAACGACGAATGACCAAACAACGGTATCTGAGGTTTACAGAGAACACTATGCTTGTATGTACTCAGCCGCAGCGCCTCCGTCACATCCACTCTTGTCAAGGAGGAACTACGAACAGCCTCTAACCGACCTGGTCTTCACGGAGGAGGACATTCGTCAACTCTTGCACAAGATCAACCCATTCTGCGCGTTGGGGCCCGGATAGGTCCATCCAAGGATCCTGACAGAAACGTCGTTCACAAAGGCAAATCTTCTACAACTAGTGTTTCGCCAGCCGCTTGACGAAGGCCGCCTTCCCCCTGCTTGGAATGAAGCGATTAACACGCCAGTCTACAAAACTGGTGACCGACTGTCGCCTGAGAGCTACAGACCTATAAGCCTCACCAGCGTGCCGTGCAAGGTAATGGAACGCATTATGAAGCGAGCTATTCTAGATCACCTTACTTCCAGCAACCTGATATCTCCAGCTCAACACGGATTTCTCCCAAACCGCTCTTGCGTGACAAACGTGCTCGTGTTTATGGACAGCTTAACCCAAACCAAGGACGAAGGATTCATATCGGATGTCATATTTTCCGACTTCGCAAAAGCATCTGATAGGGTCCCACACGTCCCGCTGCTCCACAAACTCGAGTCTTACGGGATTCAAGGGAAAATCCTTCGCTGGATCAAGGCGTTCCTATCAGACAGGTCATTCCGAGTGAGAATAGGCTCAACCTATTCCTCTCCAGCGCCGGTCTCCATTGGAGTTCCTCAAGGCTCCGTCTTGGGACCACTCCTGTTTCTGATCTACGTCAACGACCTCCCAGACGTTCTTGCGAGTCCATGTTTACTTTTTGCGGACGACTTGAAATCCTGGAGTTCCAATGCCAGCGCCCTCCAAATGGATGTAGACGCTGCCAAGCAGTGGTCGTTGGACTGGCACCTTCCTCTGAATGATGAAAAGTGCGTCCATGTGTCGTTTGGAGGGGATTCAGCGAATGCCTTTGTTATGCATGGTGAAAAGATACCAGATAAATTCATGAAGATAGATACCAAGAAGGATTTGGGCATCTGGGTATCCTCAAACTTGTGCTTCTCACTGCACCGCGAGAAATCGCCCAAAAGACATTCACCATTTTGCGGACGATCCGACTCACCTTCTCCCGTATTACTCGCATGGACTTCCAAACGCTCTATGGGGCCTACGTCAGACCGCTCCCGGAGTACGCCAATCAAGTTGTCTACTTAGGACGCAAAAAAGACGCCACACTCATTGAGCGTGTCCAGCGAGCCGCCACGAGAATGGTTGCCGGCCTCAAATCCGTGGACTACGAAACGCGTCTCGCGACGCTTGATCTCTTTCCCCTGGAGTACCGTCGCCTCCGTAGGTACCTAATTTTTACGCTCTGTTTGAACAAAGCTTGGCAAACAGGTTTTTACCGTTGACCCAGAAAACACACGGCGGGAAGATAAGGAGAAACTTTCAAGCTCAGAACACACACATTCATTTCGAGTAGTAGCTGCGTGGAATGACCTTTCTCCGGGGTTGCTCACTCTCCTTCTAGAACCCAGTTTAAAGCACTATTACACACATTACTGCGAATCCTCGCGCTGGTGAGCATACTGCCCGCGCTGAGAGCTACACCCTTTTTTCACTCGTGCCTTTCAGGTGAACGACAGCCACTGACCGACAAGAACAAAACCGACCCGGGAAACTTGGGCAATGGCCTCGATCCTGTGCATCAATCAATGAATCCGTGAACTACGAAATGTACAAGAAATGCACTTTGTTTCTTTGACAGACAATCAGTGTGAAACTGTTAGACCTTGTATCGTCTGCTCTCCCTCTAACTCGTGCTCCACGCTGTTAAGCGAGTGTTCTTGTGTTAACACACATTTGTAGATTGGCTCCTTCTTGAGGCCAAAAACGTGGATACACTGTGCTGAGAATCAACGCTTCGGTCCAGCGTCCTGTCCTGTTTTCGGATCGGTAACGGAGCACACCCATGCTGCATTGTTCAGGTGAGCCGTACTGTGAATTATGTCCCGACTCTTCATAGTGGCCACGTGGCCGAAAATACGCAAATGTTGTAATACATTGGTGCCTAATTATGGCTGTTAGAATATGGAAGTAGCAAAACGGGAAATCGCAACCGAACGATACCCCTCTGTCCCCATTGGAACTGGCAGCTTTTTATGATAGCCTTCACGGGATGGTTCTTAACCATCATCTGCTTGGACAAGCCAAACATTTACCTAATGGGAATAGACCGTTCGGTTTTCATGAAGATACCTAATCGTACATCCGATACCGATGGTAACGAGCGTTTCGATTTCTTGAACAGCCAGCAACAACGCTAGCAATTAAAACGGCAATCCTCCGAGAAAATCGCCACTCAAGATTTCTGTACTTTAAAAATAAGAGTGGTCACATGGATAACAAATTACAAAACCCGACATTTTTCGACAAACGGTGAAGCACTTCAAAAACAAGGAGAGCTGATACGGATCAACAACTAACGCGTGCTCAAAACCGGGCCAAGAACTGATGCATTAAAACAAATTTATAAAATGCCAAAAATTTGCATGGCAAGGAAAATGGAAAATATATATGTCTAATCAAACTGAAATAGAGTTCACTTATATGGAGAACGAAGAGGGTGACCATTTTAATCTTTTATCGAGAAGGCAGCCTTTGCAGCGGCTGGCTGGAGGCACACCCAAATAATTTTGGTCGAAACTGTATGATGGCTTGCCCCTTAGCTCACTATAGTTCTAATATTTTTCAGACGAGCGTGTTACCCAGACAACCGTTTCAGTCCGTTTGTGCAGGGACTTGGAAGTAGTGGCCATCTCATTGTGCCGTCTGCTTCTTCTGCCCACAGTCCCGGTAGTTCATCCAACGGCACTACTGCCGGCTTGGTGTCTCGGTGAAGGTCAAACCTTTCCTTAAACCATAGATGACGTGTGCCGACAGTCTTAAACACCAAAAAGCGCACTAGCTCTGACGAGTTCCTTGACTTCTGCAAGACGCTTGCCGCAACCAAAGAAGAATTTTCCATATTAAAGTCGCGAATGGCCACTCTATTTTGCGATACGGGCGTGATTATTGTCTAAGTTCTGAGATTATTTCCAAATCTCATATGTAAGGAAACATTCGAAGGCAGCTTTTCCACATAATCTCCCACCGTTTTCATGCAGACTGTGCGCGAAGCCGCTTACAGCCATTAAAATACAATTTTTGTTCGCACGGTGGACTCCGATTTCGTTTAGACAACTAGTAAATCTGCGGCCGCGTGGGAAGATCTTAAGGGCCAGAATAATTACCATCAAACGCCAAGACATTATGCTAAAGTATCCCTATTTCGAACCACGGTTTCAGAGACATTTAGGGTGTGCGTCTTGGACGTGGCGTCATTCAATTTGGGAGTCAATTTTAAAGATATACGAACTGCAATACCGGTGTTATCCGTGATCAGGAATATGTAAAACTTCCATTTACAAGCTAGGTATATGCTGCTAAAAAAATTTACCCAGGTTGGTACGTGGTGGTTGTTCCACCAACGTTTACCACATCCCAGAAGCTTCGGAACAGTACTATCTGTTCCCATCTAACGAAGCACTCTTTTCTGTAGTGACGTTCCCTAATTTCAACGCAAAATTTCATTGTCCACTGAAGCAATCATACCTCTGGCGGAAAAGTCTGGTTGGAATGATTTCCCAGCATCGCTGAGACTCCAGGATGCCCAAATGTGGCTCAAAATTTTGGACTGGCACTCTGAACTCAATTGCTCGAGTGCTTTAATCCATCAGGGGCACGTCAAAACTGTCGGAACTTCAATTCCATTGTGCGAATACTGAGCGCCTTTGGTGTTATCAACCCCATTATGATTGGTTGAAACCTCGGCGGCGGGAACATTCAGAGCCAGGCCCGGCAGAATGCATGCTTTACGCAGCAGGATGTAGTATGCACGCTATGGGAGCATCTGTGGGCAGTGATTCTCCGAAGATAGGGGTTCATGACAATTTCTGCGGATGGAAAATAGAAACAAAGCCCATGAACCGAAGCCCTGTAAGCAGTACTTACGTTTAAATCAACCAAAACCAGACACCGTATACTAACCTGGAGAGCACATCGTCCCCGGTGTACTGTGTCTTACATGAACCGGCTGGTGCTAGTAGTGTGGCGTGTGAGGCTGGTGGGCTCACATACACAAGCGTATGTAGAATTTGCTGTGTCTGCGTGTGTGACGTGTTAGCTCTGAGGCCTGTATGCACACACGTAGAGCCAAGGTCTTTGTGATAGAGCTCTGACACAAGTAATATATTTGTAAGTCGACTTACAAGTATATCTGGTGCAGTTTTGCATGGCACGGTTTTCACATATGCCATTTCCCTTCATCGCTATAGCGATGAAGAAGGGAATAGACATCGCATTTTCTAATAATGCTATTATAATAGCATTATTAGAAAATGCGATGTCTATTCACTGATTGATGCACATGACCGACGCTTTCGCCCCTCCGGTTCTTGTCGTTCAGCAGCTTTCATTCACCTGAAAGGCAAACGAAAAGGGGGTGTAGCCCCGCTCTTTGAGTTCTCCATGCGAGGGCTCACATAAAAAAGCGTCTAAAAGTGCCTTTTAACTGGGTACTCGATGGTACACGGACAACTATTAGAGGAGGGCCAACCTTCTACGTACTAAATATCCGAAATGAGAAGAATTGTTACCCGACGAAATTGCACACTATGAACTTGGAAGTCTTCTTACAATGTCGCAGCTGTGTGTTAGTTGGGTCAATGGTGAAAAACCTGATAGTCACACCTTGTTCAAGCAGGGTGTAAGTAAGCATTAGGTCTCCTCGGGGGCGTAGGTACTCCAGGGGTGAAAGGTCAGGCACCGCGGCTGTAATGAGCGAATTTAAGGCTGCAGCTACTTTTCTAGCAGCTCGTTGAACATTCTGAGTGAGGTTTACGTGTTTCTCGCATCCTGGTTAGACAACTTGGTTGGCATTTTCAAGAAGCGGTTGGACGTAGGCTTGAAGATTTCAGTTGTGACATTCTGGCTGCCATTCCACCCGTAGGAGGCATGATGGCTGGAAAACTCCAGGTTGCCCAAGCCTAGACAGGGGAAGTTGAGAGCCATAGGTCGGATTCGAACTACAGACCTTCCGTTCAGTAACTGCGACCCAACCACTACGCCATCTCACCCCATAGAGTATCTGGGGATCCATGCGATTAATACCTGGAATGCTCACCGCGTCGTCTGTAGGACATTTTTCATGGTAGAGTAAAAAGGACAAGTTTGAAGAGAGCCAGATACCTAAATCCTTCTTAGTATCTATCCTCGTAATGTCCTATGGTCCATTCTCGCCGTGAACGACAAAGCGTTCGCTGCGTCTCATCCGAATGACATGTGGACGTACTTGTCGTCATTCAGAGGAAGGTGCCATTCCAGCTACCAGTGCTCCACAGCGTTTCCATCCGTTTGGAGGGCGCTGGCGGCGGTATTATCTTGCTCGTAAGAATTACTACTCCGAATACCACAAAGTAATCTGTTCTTGTTCCAATTTTAAATGGTTTCACTCTCCTGCAATAAATAGCCGGTTAGGGTAGCGTAGCGGTGTCAAATATTACAAACTGCTTGACAGCGCCAGCAAATCTGGTGTTATGGTGGTCGGTCCAGAGAACATCACCATCAGCTGTAAGAACCGCGTACTGGCCGTGCAGTGGGTATAGCTGCCACAGTTTTCTTCACCGGTGGTTTGGGGAGGTGAGGTTGACAGCTATGCACTCTAGGCGGTAGCTGATGCGAAAATACAGAGGTGTCAGTGGAATTTTCACTGGAGGGATTGGGAGGGGAGCCATGCATTGCAGGAAATAGTTTGAATGCACGAAAGCTATTGAAGGTTCGACTGGGCCAATTTTTCCAACCATCGATGTGTCCCGTCTCTGGGTCTCCTTCCATGAAGATGGCAATGGCCAGCGCAGCTGAGTTTTACAGTACTGGCTTTTATACTTCGCTGTCAAGTCACTGACCCCTCTGGCTCGTTTCCACCCTTCATGTGGTTGTGCGAAAAGATCCCTTCAAGGAAGTGGGTCGATTGACACACGGAGCACGTGACCAAGCCAACGCGGCCTATAGAGTGCAATCAACTCATCTGTCGTGAGCCAGTTATTCTGATTGTCATTCGACATGCTGCAGCATTGCTGATCCAGTGTTCCCACCTGACTGGAACAGTGCTCCGAAGACGCTGATCAAACTCTGAAAGTCTTTTGACGTCCTCGGTTCACAGCGGCCGCGTTTCTGACCCGTATAATAATGCAGCGCACCGTAGCATTGTAAACTCGACCCTTAATGGATAAGCTGATGTCACGCCTTTTCCATGGGTGATGCGGGTTCATGAAAGCTGCTCTGGCCTTCCCAATCCGGATGGAAATCTTTTGCGAGACTGCCTAGTCTGATATAGCTGTCCAGAGGACAAATTTATTTACTACCTTAATTAGCCCATCCACAAGCATAAGGCTAAGGTTTGAGTCCACCCTTTACACTTTGCAGGTGTGAAGCGCATGCCAGACCTTGAGACAGACTTATTAAATTATTTGATATTCGCATTACGACGGCGTCAGATCCAAAAAGATCTATGTTGTCTGTATACTCGATATCTGTAATCGAATACCAAGGGAGCACTTCGACCGCACAAAAAATCGTTCAATTGTAGCACCCTTTCAGTGCCTAACTGGCATGCCTCCCGAAGGAAGCACGAGGGCTAGGAGACTGCCAGGTTGCCAACCCTAGACAGGGTAAGTCGAGAGGCAGAGACCAGGTTTGAACCACGGACCTTCCGGTCAGTATATTTGCGCTCTAACGACTTGAGCCATCTCGTCCGCATAGGCTGGTAGTAGGTCCTCCATAATCACATAAGTGACGAAGTTGAAGAGGGAATATGAGAGGCGACAGCTTTGCCTAGCGCCACTTGATGTGGTGAACCCAGGCGATAGCTTCCTGTGGACCATACATCTGTGGGAGTTGGCGTACAGCGCCTTCGGCAGTGTCAATGATTTACGGGGGACACCTTTGCTATACAAATATTGTCATAGTGCCTGACGGTCCACAGAGCAAAAGACAGCTTTCAAGAACACAACCGTTTTTGGTTGCCAGAATCTGTCGGAAGGTGAAAATGTGGCCGATACATCCTCTTGAAGAAGGAACCCAGATGGCTTTTCACCGATCTGTCTCTTACTATGTTCAGTCAACCTTCGAAGGATAAGACCAGGGAGCACCTTCGATGCAACAGCCACCAGGACGATTCCACAGTGGTTTTCACAGCGTCCACCTACCCTTTTCTGAGGGTAGGGATGACAGTCGACATGCCCCATTCTGCAGGCATTTCCTCTTCACTCTATGTCGCACCAATGTGCTTTATCTGATAGATCACCAGGGATTATCCGCCTGTCTGTTCTTCTTGAGACGCTTGCCCACCAAGAAATGCCCAAGAAGTTTGTAAACATAATACGTTCTTTGTATTCTCAGACTTCCGGACGTGTGAGAGTGTACGGAGAGCGGTGTCCGTCAAGGATGCCCACTCTCTCCATTCCTTTTTAACTTTGTGATCGATGAAATAATGAGACGAACGCTGGAGGGTCTCCAAAACCCTGGTGTTCAAATGGCCTATGGAGAAAACCTTGTCGATCTGGAATATACAGACGACATCGTTCTCATGTTCGAAGAGGAGGAGAAGGCGCAAGTATTCTTGGATGAACTGACCAAAGTCATCTCGTCCTTTGGTATGCATTTTGCACCTACAAAGTGTAAGGTCATGCTTGTGGACGTG